TGCGAGGAGAAGGGCAGCGGATAATTCAAGACGCGGGATACTAAGGGTTTTGAGCGGCGCGACTTTTGATTTCGCCATTAGTAGAGAAACGGTGACAGTACCGTCCACAGCGACCGTGCGGAGATATACTGCTGCGGCATATGCTTTAGATGATGCGTCGGAGAAGCCATGCAATGAGCATTGCAACGTGTGAGATCCTTGCGTTGTCCATCGCTTGATGCGAAGGTCGTTAAGATAGGGAAGTTTCGAGTAGTAGTTTTGCCACATTTCCCGATGGGACTCTGGAACGTTCTCGTCCCATTGGCATTTTAGAAGCCATAGTTGTTGCATCAATATTTTTGCGGTAATGGTGACCGGGGTTCCCCAGCCGAGCGGATCAAAGAATTTCGCGATCGTGGAAAGAATGGCACGTTTGGTGGTGGGAATGATTGACGACAGTACGATCTTAAATTCGAAAGTATCCCGACTCGGGTTCCAGGCTATGCCCAGCACCTGGAGTCGTTCACCTTCCTGCAATGGTTTACTGCTGGCGAGCCCGTGGTCGGACGGGATCAATATCCGACAATAATTCCTCACAGTTACTTGCCCATTTCCGCAAGTGGAACCCGCCCCCTTTTAGCAAGGCGACCAACTGATTTTTTGTTTGTCGCGCGAGTATCTTATCATCGGCACCGAAAACGCAATCATCCACATAAACTTGGGATGTTAAAACCGGAACCGCTAACGGAAAATTCGGCCCGTCATCGAACGCCAACTGCCGCAGAACGCGGAGCGCGAGGTATGGAGCAGACGCGGTCCCGTAGGTGACAGTGAGTAGGCGGTATTCATCCAGCGGCTCCTCGGGCGAGGATCGCCAAAGAATACGTTGATAATCCGTATCGCGATCATCGACTTGGATCTGCCGATACATTTTTGCGATGTCTGCAGTATAGACATATCGATGCTGACGCCATCGCATAAGGACGGCTGCGATATCTAATTGTAATTTGGGACCGATTTGCAGATGATCGTTCAAGGATGTGCCATTGGTCGTGCGGCACGACGCATTAAATACGACGCGAAGATGAGTCGTTTCACTTTTGTCGCGAACCACAGCATGATGCGGTATGTAATAGTGCTAAGTTGCGTCGCTTGCTCCTGATGAGTCTCTAATTTTGGCCATATGACCAAGACGGTAGTACTCCGAGAGAAACTCATTGTACTCGGAGGCTAGTTTCGGTTGGCGGCACAATCTGTTTTCAAGTTTATATAGAAAGGACGACGCGATCTGACGGGACTCGCCTAACGACACGGGAGGGCCATTCTTAAAGGGCAGCCTAACAATATAACGTCCTTGGGTAGTGCGAGAGTGAGTCGCGACAAAATGCTCTTCACACTGGATTTCGGCGGGACTAAACGGAGAGTTTTGCGGAACGTTCTCAATTTCCCAGAAGCGACGAAGGTCCTGATCAAGGATTTCGAAAACGGTGCCATGATGAATATGCACGGATTCACTGGAGTAGGTAGCGGAGGGAGTGACAGGACCGGACAGAATCCAGCCGAATGTCGTATTCTGCGCGACGGGTTCGTTCGCGGAGCCCTTGCGGACACCGTCGAGGAGCAGTCCGCCGTAAAGGTCGGCTCCGATTATTAATTCGATCGGATCCAAACTCATAGGTTCGTTATCGGCAAGGGTGAGTCCGGAAATATGTTTCCATAGACCACTAGACGGGAGTCTATTTGGTGTATATTTCGTCAATGATCTGAGAACGAGGGCATTCGTCGTATACGCTGGTCCGCCGCCCGATGCAGACGTTATCGTGATAGGCGCGGCGTAGCGCACGGCGGATTTCGTATCTCCTATCCCGGTGACATAAACGGCTTGCTTAATTTTTGGTAATCGTAAATATTGCGCGATCGACTCGGTCATGAGCGTCGCTACCGAACCTTGATCGATAAGTGCGCGGACCATCGCGGTATGGCCGTGCGGCGAGTGCACGCGCACACGAGCTGTTGCGAGGAGAATTTTCGAGTTGGGCGAAATGGTTTGCGAAACGACATGCGTAGCAATGGCTTGATCGCTGTTTTCGCTCGCGTGCCCGGTCATACCGGACGATTCGGCACTGCTCGATTTGACTGACATATCGAGATGCAGTAAAGTGTGATGTTTCTTGTTACATTTCTTGCACGCTCGAGAACTTGTACATTCTTTAACCATATGTTTTGCGCTGAAACAATTAATGCAGCGCTTGAATTTTCGGATCAATTCGCCGCGTTGAGACGGCGTTTGGCTTAAAAAGGTCGAGCATTGGTATAACAAATGGTTATGGTTACAGACAGGACACACGAAATTAATCGTGGCTGCTGAATGAGATGCGAGAATGTGGTGTTTCGCGGATTTAGCATTTTCCGATGTTCGTTCTTTGGAATGAACAGGACCCAATGCTTCTAACGCGCGGATGCGACAGTCCATGAATTGAGTGAGATCGCGGAAGGTCGGAGAGTCGACGGTATCTCCGAGCTTGAGCTCCAACGCTTCTCTGGATTTGCTATCGAGTTTCTGCGAGACTAGAAAAACCAGTATGTCGTCCCAATGCTCCACCGGTCGCTCTAAATTTTTTAATGCTTGAACTGCCGCAACGGTTTGATCGCGGAGCGCGCATAGATCTTTGGAAGTCTTGGCAGACATAACCGGCAAATTGAGCAACGATTTTAAATGACACGTTATTAACCGACGTTTATTGTCATATCGTGAAACTAGAATGTCCCACGCGACCCCAAAGCTGGAATCTGTTACCGCGAGATGTTCAGAGCGTTACTTGCTTCCCCTTTGACACACGAAGAGAGATAATGCATACGGTCGACATTGGATAACGTATAATCGTGACGAATTAGCGAGGTAAATCGGTCGCGAAAATTTTCCCATTTTTCGAGGCTTCCGTCAAAAGTTGGTAAATTTAATTTTGGTAAATGCGATTTGGATGACGGTCGAAACGATTCAGATACCCCGCTTACGTCAGCTGCTGAAGCCTGGTAGAACACTGGGTCGAGCGTCGCGACTACCTCCACCATGTAGTCTGCGGTGTCGTTGTAGATATCTTCGCACGCTTTAAATTGATGTTCGGTGAAGTAAAGATGATCCGTCTGCTTGGTCTCCTCGGCGACTAGGGTGATCTTGGCATGGAGGTCTTGACACTTCGCAAAAGTCTCCTTGAGTGTTGCCAGTCGCTCCTTCGTTACTGCTCGTGTCATTTTTGCTTGACCGAGTTTTTTAAAATTTGGCAGAACTCTTGAAATGGTGTATATGGTTTGCTTTTGCACGGCTAAGAATTCGCTGAGATTCGACATGGTGCCCTTCACTCACGTGCACCGGTTGTGGATTGACTCAAAGTCAGGTCAGTGGTTTCTCCTTAACACCAAATCCGGCTCGAAGGACCAAATGTTTCGGCTGGCTGATTCCACCTCAGAATAGAGGATCAGATGTTAAGGCCTTTGGTCGGTGAGGAAAATAACGAAGTCCGTAGGTGCTAGATTTCAAAGCTCGGATCTTTATTTTGGTGTCGTTCTGCTAGGCGGGCACGGAACTTAACAAAACTCCGAAATTTAGGATCGGTAAGCGCCTCTCGTCGTTTCTAACGCTGAAGGCAGAGACGATCGAACACGCCATAACGGGCGAAGGTCTGAGCAGGCGACCCCTGTTCGCAGCTCGACGTCGAGATCAAAGATTCGTTATGCTTACTAACGAGATTTTAGGCGCTATTAGGAGCGTCGTTGGCGGACTGAAGTCGCTAAAAACTAGGCGCTTCCGAGCAAGCCTCTCTTAAACTCGCCGAGAGGGGCTGCTATTTTTTATGTGACGTCAGTGCTGTTTTTGCGACACTCGGTTGTGGTGTGATCGTGAGTCCGCAACATAA